ACTACAGGGTTTACACAAAGGCATGGGCCTAGGTGGTGGTGACGCCAATGCTGAACAATGAGCGCACCTTCCTTTACATCCAGAATCCCAACTCTTCTCCTCTCCACTCTCCGCCTGCCCCCCAGCCTCTAATTTGGAGGAGGAGGAGGAGGACCTGCTGTCCTGCAAACACACTGGTCAAGACAACTGTCCCCGGCCTCCTAACTCATGCTGCAAGAGAGCAGCTCTCATTAATAACACAAAAGGCACTTTCCAGAGCCTGATTCTGGGTCACGGTAAAATAAAAAGCTTTGTGTTGAGGAAATTAGCGTTCATAACTCATAAAATAGTGGCTGCAAACATGTCCCTGTCTGAACTTGCTCTAACAAGGATACCCTCCTTGTTACTCCACAAAACATTCTCCCCAGTGTTCAGTGCCATGTGCAGAGAGACGTATTCACTGGATTTATTTTTCTGTTAGCACACACAATCAGCACAGTACATTGCCACATCACATGTCTTAAAATTTGATTGATTATTTTTATACACATATTCCTAAAGATGCAGCTGTCTCTCCAGCTCTGCTATAGATTTGTATTCTTGCACAACCTGGCTGAAGGAGGCTGGCCAAAATTTACTATGTAAATTTACTATAAATTTTCACTACACTTAATTCTTGGGTGTAGTTATTTCCCAGTGAAATGCAATTTTAAAAAGCCCCTCGCATGTAGACCTTATGTGTCATCACTGGGTATCAGGAATCGGATTCCACTGAGTCTTTTGTCTGAACTCTTTTGATTTTTCTTCTGGCTTACTTCAATAATAATCAGATTTGAAATATTAAAAACAACATTTTGTTTTAAGGTCCAGTTGAAATGTGACTGCGGCTGATCTTCACACATGTCATAACAATGATCGGTTTAGCAGTTTTGACACAGAATGAACATTGTTTCAGATCCGATGCATCTGAAATCACGTAAAATCAAAGGCAAACCGATCACTTGTACTTTCCCAGGCTCCAGAGTTTTGAGACAACAGATGCTGTGAAAGTCTCTGTCTGGCACCAGCCTTGCTGCCTGCCCACTCAAATATCACCACTATGTCCTGTTTCAAGTAATAATTATAATAATAATTCCTTAGACTTATATAGCGCTTTTCTAGACACTCCACTCAAAGCGCTTTACAGGTAATGGGGATCCCCTCCACCACCACCAGTGTGCAGTACCAACTCAGGAAGAAACTCTTCTTGACCAGTCTGTCGAGTCTTCAAGCTGTGTATCAGCTTGAAAGCCATGGAAGTTATCTGACTCTTTAGTTTAGGGGGAACTCTTCTTGACCAGTCTGTCGGATGACTCGTGGCATTGATGAGATAGATCAATATTCGCGAGACGGCCGGGGGGTGAGCGTGTCTCTGAGCTGAGGTTTTAAATCATCAACACAGAAGAAGTGGTCCTTCATTGAAAGTGAGGATCCTTTCGCTACAAACATGAATGAACTGGGTGCCCATTGGTCTCTTGTGAGATAAGGAGAATGGCCCCATTGACAACAGATAAACAATACCAACAGAGCCAGCTCATTGTTTCCACGTTAAATACCTAATGAATCTTGTGACTGCGAGAACAGGGTGTATGTTCTGTTCTTCTTGGCTCACAAAAGAATTTCCAGCAGGCCTTTGCAATTTTATGGTTTCGATGCCCTCATGCATTTAAAATATCATTTCTGACTGATTCTTACTTTCGGAAGGTACATGTGCATACACAACCTCCGGCAGCAATACTGAATCCCTTTATGAGATAGATGGCCGGCGAGTGCCAGCTCTGTTTTATCTACGTATGGTTCTTATGATGAAATCGGTAATTCAATTCTTGCTGAGCAGCAGTCAGCAAGTCAAATGCAAATCTAAGAAGAAAACATCAGAGACTCTCACGCAACAGAGAGTGCAGGAAGACTGGAGGAACAAAATATTAAAAACAGAAAGTACAGACTACTTTAAATTCTGAGTTTTGAAGTGCAGAGGGTTCAGGCTGAAGGTTGTCAAAGAAAGCAGAAACGAAACGGTTTTCCAAAGTGTATTTTGTAGCAATCCCATTTTATAAACCAGAGTAGACCTGAAACTAAAACCACAACATCATAGGAATGCCAGACTTCACCCATTACAAACGTGTATTGAACACTACAGTGCTCTCCAAAGGAAGAAAGACTGTATCACAAACAGCTTGAACAGCCATCTCAACTCCTCTTGCTCTTATCACTCTGGGGACAGGAGCCCCAATTCCTGCCATAGAAAGTAAAGCCACCGAACTCCCTGGATCAGAGGGCGAACGAGTGTGTCGTGATGGACGAGGCCCAGTTTGCAATGAAGAGGGAGAGCTGGGCATGTCGGCTGTTTCAAACCACCGAGAAACCATGGGTGAAATGAAAGGACTCCCCCAGTCACAGACCAACAGTTTTGCCACGAAGGACGGCACGCTGATCTCTGTCTCACGCAAGCGAAAGCTTGTTCCGGAGAGGAGCTCGCTCTCTTAATCCTGGGATGTCACACCGAAGAGACAGAGAAGCTTAGTTGAGCTTGCATTTGTGCAATAAGGAATCATTTCACATTCCGGCCCGTAAAGCCTTTTGATACGACACTGTAAGACCTCGTTCACGTCACTGTGCTGCTGTGGGAATGGTGCTCTTAAAGTGATTTAATCCCTCGCAAAAATAAGTAACACAAAGATGCGAAGGTCACCGAACGTGAGTGCTGATCTGCAGGCATCTGATTTGTGACATTCTTTCCCTTTGGTCGTTTAATTGTCCAGGTTGTCGAGTTTGTAGTCCAAAAGAAACCTCCTCAGTATAAAGAGGGGAGCGTGACATTAATACTCTCGGTACTGCTGGCTCAAGCTCACCATGAGTACAGAGACATTGTTTTAAGTCTTGGTAGTTCTTTCTTTTGGAAAATGACATTACCGTCAACCTTTCAAAACATGCCACTATCACAGAGACACGTATAACTTACCCCGCGCAGTTTGTTTGGGGACTGACTTCACACCTAAACGTCGACAAATGCAGGTAACACAATAAGCTATAGACATAACACAGGAATCACTGAGCATGACGATGCTACCTATAAAAAAGACTTGTGGTGTGCTCCTTTTCATTTTATTAACAACGAGGAGAGGCGATTAAAAAGAGAAGGATATGATATATTACTTAAAGGTATAGAGTTCAATTCAAGAGATGTTGAGTTACAAATAGCACAATGCCATAGAAGACCATGAGAAGACCTGATTCAAGCACTCAAAACCCTCAAAGTTACTGACAGTTAACCCAGTGGGCTTCTTCAGAATCTGTTTTAAACAGAAACCAGAGGACACAAGTGGAAAATATGTGAAAGTAAATTTAGAACTGAGTACAGGAGGCCCACAAAACACAACAGGTGGTGGGAGTTTGGAACGAACTACTCATGTTGTTGAAGTCAAAACCCAAGCTTCTTTCAAGAAACAGCCGGATAAGATTCTTAAACAACTTAGCTAACAGCATCCAAGTGATAGAATGACCTCCTCTGGTTTGTAACCTCTATTATGTTGCCAGGTTTTATGAATCAACACAATTTACAGTCCCACCACCCTACACACAAACAAGTACAAAATTGTTGATCGCTGACTTCTTGGCTGAGCCTTCGATGTGAGCATTGTGTGGGAAGTAAGAGGCTTACAGGAGTCTTGAAACTGGACTGTGCTTCTGAGAGGATTAACAAAATGCAAACCCTTTTTCAAGGAAATGGTTGAGTTATTTCAATAAATGACACATACAGTATCAAAGCGCATACCTTTTTAAGTTCATAACACTACCTCTCTGGTTAAAAGCACTGGCCGGGTGTAGAGAGCAGGGTACACAATTCTGAAAATTTCTTCTAGCACTATAACAGTGTAACATAACCTCGCAATCACGGGTATCTCACCCGTGATTGCGAGGTTATGTTACACTGTTATAGTGCTAGAAGAAATTTCACAGAAACACAGTCATGACCGAAAATTCCTTCTTGTAAACAATACCGACAGAGCAAGCTTGTTTGAGGCCACTTTGAGGCCAGTTCATGTAAAGACAAATCAGACCATCAGATATCAGGACTGTTTGCATCACTCTGGTTTTCCAGGAGAATGGGCTGGCCTACACTTACTCAAGAGAGGAAATCTGCTCCTTCCTTTCTATTGGCCTATTTCCATTTCTATTGGCTTTGCTCATTGCACTGTATGTCTGAGCCTGAGATATGAGGAAGGGCATTCCAGCCTACCTCAAATTTAAATCCAAAGAGCTTGATTGGTGTGACTGACAAATAAGTAACAGTTAGCAGGGCACTTAAGGACATTTCCCCAAAAATTATCATCTATATTATTATTATTATTATCATTATCATTGTTAGTGGCTCAGATTCTGGAAGGTGCAGGAATTCTAGGATGAGGTTATTTATTTGGGGGAAAAATGTTAGTTTAATCCTGAAATATCTCTTGCTGAGACAGTGCATCTCTGTCTCCGCTTCTCTCCTGCTGGCTGCCGAAATCTGTTATCAGCACGTTTGACAACGGCCGTTACCCGGACACTGAGAATGGTGGTGATATCTTTATAGGAGTGGAAGCAGTGGCAATGACTCCTGGCTGTATCCATTCCAGTCCCCAGTCCCCACCCTGGTTTCTCCTGGCCCTGCCATGCCCATGTGTGGTTGGTGCTAGAAGTCCTTTTGTCAGGGAGATCCCTTCCAATGGAATGCCAAGTGACGGTGTTGTAAATGAGCTAGTTTACTGTGGCCTCCTCCCCTACTACCACAGGCTCAGCCATGCTATCATCTGAATTGCAAAGTCCAAACCTTGAGGTGGTCCAACCACAGCGATTAAACCCTTAGAGAACACTCATGTCTGCTACACATGGCTGCTACACACTGAGGAAGTATCCTCTAACAATTAAAGATCATGGCTATTCTACAACATAAGAATATAATAAATGTTATGAATGAGAAGCAGCTCTTCGGCTCATCAGGCCTGTTTGTTAGTTAGTACCTTCTGTGCTCAAAAATGCAGTTTCACAACATGAGCATGGTTTTAATTGTGTTTACAGCACAGGGAAAGGAAGGACGGTACTGAAAATCGTTGTCGCTCACTGAAAAAACAAGCAGCTCTGTGAATAAAGAACTCCGCAGTGTGAATCAGGCGCCTTCTTGATTTGAATGAGCTATCTGACTGTGCCAATGTCCCTCTGGAAAAAGACGCTCTGTGAATTCTTTGGAAGTGGCTGGTTATCGCATGAAGAGGAGTGCAGAGCACAAGTACGCAAGTACAGCTGTTCATTAAAAACCCAAGTCAGCGAAGGGGGAAACAATGATCTGTCACACCTGGGGAAAAATATGTGACTAAATCTATAATAACGTACATAAACTCTTCCCAAGCATGGCTGCACAAGCTCAGCGCTTTGCACTTAACATTTCTTTCATCGTTCTTTTACAGCATGCTGTGCCCAGGAATTCCCCGCCATCACCTTCAGCAGCAGGGAAACAGAACACGAAAATGAAGACGTGGACTTCAGGCAGCTGAAAGGCTTTTAACCACGAACAGACAATAAAACAGAGAGGGCACTCAGCTGTCGAGATCGCCCTTCACAACTGACCGCCTCAAAATACTGGATGAAAAAGAGAGGACGAAGCAGGGCCTGTTTCCAAGATCATTAACCTCCTGCTATTATCACGTTGTTTTTCGTTCCTTCGGTATGGCTCACCTACAGTATTGCGCCTCAAGGGCATTTCACTTTTCTCCAGCTGTGTTTTCCGACCGGTGCTCCACGCCTGCAGAGATGTTTGCGCAACTGAATTACGGGCAATTACAGCACGTGAAGGGACTGGTACAGAACCAGGACTGTGCACGCACTACTCAAGCACGGGCGGTAATTATTTATTACTAATAATAAATCCCACCTGAAGATTTGAAAGTGCAGTTTAAAAATGAACCATTTCCAATAGTTCTAAAGCGTCCATGTTGAGCTGCTTTATATAATCTGTATGTGCATCAATTCTGTACACACTGGTTTGCAGGGATTTTAGGTATTTTCCATTGTTCTGCTTTTTTCACTCAGTGTTTTTCCTTCTGTGCCCATGCATGCTTTTTCTGACCGCTTAATCCAGCACTGGGTTGCAGGAGAGCCAGAGCTTATCCCAGCAAGCGACAGGCACAAGACAGGGTGCTTCCCGGTCCTTCTTAAAGGTATAACACAATTCGACAGCAGCCTTCCACTGAAATAGTAGACGCTGTGTTTCAAGCTCACAGCGAATCCTGATAGACCTGTATTTCGTGGCACAGGAGGCAGCCTTTTTAAATGTATAGTTGTGTAGAGAGAAGTGAATCATGTTCATGGCGAGGAACGCCTGGCATGAGTGACCCGATTGGCCAACAGGATGGGTTCGTGAGTACAGCCCTCCACGTGTATCTCACATGTCATTTACCTCGGGTTGTTGTGATCAGACTTTTTTTTAAATACCGGACAATTTGAATTAAGGACTGACAACTGGTAAGCTTGGTTTCTCTTCACCCAAACCCAGCTGTACTCGTAGCAACGTTGAGTGTTCCAGTAGTATAAGACACTAATAGAGGCTTTGAGGAAATTGCTGACACTGATATCACATCTCTATAACTCTTGATTGTGTCTAAGATGTCTAAGACTACATATATTTAATTTATCCCTTACTCTACATCTGGCCGAATCTAAATAAGGATTTTTTTTTGAGAGAGCCCTTATCATGTTAGAAACCTGTTCCCATAATGTCAATTTAAGCGTGATGAATTCTAACAGGAATACTTCATTCCTGCTCATACAAAATGTATTACATGCAGGTATATCTGTGATACTGTCAAGTCACTGACAGGAGAACTAGGGATTCTTGCTTTGAAGCTTTAGTAAGCACTTCTGAAACAGCACTGCTCTCAGACTATAGCTCTTGTAAGGTTAACAGGAGAAGGGTGATGTGGGTCTGCCTCAGAGGAAAAAAAGTAAAGAGTTCTGTTTCTACTAAAACAGTTTTCTGATTAAACCATTAGTCGCTGCAGACATCTGAACTATATTAGACATGCCCTACTGAAGTTCACTTAGCATAACCGAGCACTCCTCATGCATTGCAGATCCTTTAATTTGATTCCCCATTGCAGCTTTCTGGGCCTGAGTCAAACAGGGAGCCCTATTTTAAAAAGGGGGTGCTCTGTTTTTCGGTTGCAGGCCACCCTTCTCCCAGACCAACGACAAAAAAAGAGGTCAGGTACAGTACCATTCCTGTCCAGACAGGTTTTTTTGTCAGACACCATGGGAAGGAATAAAGTGAGGTTTATCCTCTCGTGCCGGAATTCTGAAACCTTAAAATGGGTCACCTGCCTATTGAATTCTGTCCTTATCTCCGTCCCGATTTGCTTGCAGCTACAATGGAGTCCCTGGCGTCTCAGCTCTTCCCACAGTAAGACACCTGTGAGACTGAGTGCCATCACCTGAAAGCCAGGCTCCCTGGGGAGGCGAGGAGACACAAAGGCAGGCTGTGCAAAGGGAGCACCGAGGAAGGAAACGAGGCCAGGGACCCCGGACAACGGTAACCGATACTGATGGACAGAGCTGGTGCTGTTGCTGGTGCTGTTTCGGGACAGTGCTGCTGTTCGCAAACAAGGGCACACTGTTTCAATAAAGTCAGGCCCCGCTTAAAACGGGCTGCTTGGATTATCCCCGTGTTTTTAATTTCTTCCATTCTCTTTGCCCCGGACCAAATACTTTCACCAAAACAGCTGTGGTAGGAGCTCAAATGGTATTAAGCTGGGGTAAACAGACGTGTGGGTACTGTATATGTATACAGTATATTTGCAGAAGTTTCCATTGGCAATCGTGCAATTTCTGGTAACCGATGAGCGCAAACAGCACCAGTAGAGGAAACAGAAACCTTCAGTGCCACCACACTAAGATTATCTCCAAACAAGACCAAGGTTCCCTAGTCCTGATCCTAGAGGCTCACAATCCTCCTGCTCTCGATTCCAGCTGAACCTAATTACTTAATTACTAATGAGTTGCCTGATTGGGACATTTGCAGGGTTTTTTTTGTTTTGTTTTCATATCAGACGTTTGAGATTTTATTTTACGCGGGTGGCGCGATAGTTAAAAAAAAGACAACTTCCAACATGGCCAAGAGCCAAGAACAGCTTAACATTTCCAATAAATCCTATTAAGTGAATCAAGGGTTTAATTGTGTAGCTGTTGTTAAGCTGGACTGGAACACTATCCATGCTGGATTCCTGTGGGCGGTGGTCAGGGAGTTCCCAGCACACCTGGAGATGTGCCTTGGCAATGGTACTCACTGGGGTTGAGCGACTCAAGCACACTCCTGCTAACAATTCTCACGGAAGGCTCCTCAGCCCCTCAGATCCCACGCATGAAAACATGTCAGTCCTTTCTTCTTACAACGCGAAGCACATTTCTTTTCTAAAAGAAAATATGCCTTTTTTTAAAAAATAAACAAAACAAATCATTCGGCTCGCCTTCTCAGTTTCAGTATATAAACTGCAATGTTTAAAAATGCATCAAAGACAGTGACGACACACCGTCCTGCACAGCTCTCTGTCTGGAGTGAAGACGAAGATGACCTCGCCTTACCCTGAGATAGCCCTGCCACCGCCTGATCTGTGTCATTGAAGTTAAGACAATTCTCCTCCAGCTTCAGATGTTTTTTCAAATTCAATTCCCCGTTGAGTGGACCGCGTGCAACTGACTTATCGCAATCTTTTAAAATGGTCAAAGCACACAAAAATCTCACTCACGCGGTGTTCCTTTCGGTAATTCACACTCCTGACCGAGCCGAGCGCAGCCGGGAGGCAACATCTGACTTTTCGCTGGCGGGCACGCAATTCCCCTGTCAGGGAACAGCCGATACCTGCTGGTCCCTGGCGCTGCCTGCGCCATCCCGGTCACCAGCGAGCTGGACAAGCGGCCAGGAGAAAACATTTACACACTCAGGCGAACAAACACCTGCTGCTCCCAGGGTATGTGTGTCTGCAGGGCACAGGGTACATCAGAAAGATACGTTTTTTTAATTTCGCCCGAGCAGACAGAGTCCCGGGACGGCGCCCCGCGTACGATCCTAACAGCATGACTTCAAAAAAAAAAAAACGATCTCCATGAATCCTACATTTCCGTTTGCTTAAAATGTCCGGACAGGTGTCACATACCAAGAGTGTAACAAACCTCGAAAGTCAGAACTGTTCACGTTCAGCCCTTTTGAAAGAGCTGCTTTTTCACAGTGAGGGTCACAGCGGCCAGGAGCCCATCCTGGAAGTGTAGGACACACGCTGGATGGGTGTCTCTTAGCGAGACGGGCTTGTTTTTAGGAGGTAAAATGAAACCAGGACTGCTGGAGAACCCCCTCCCCTCCCTTTAGATGACATGCAAACTCCACACAGAATGTGCCAGGGGCCAGAATACAATTAGGGATCTGAAAGCTAGCAGCACTAATCGACTCTCACACCGGGCACACATTAACACACGAAGGTCCATTATTTCCCGCGATGTAATGTTTTCCAGCTTCGAAAGTTGAACTTGTTCTGCCAGCAAGCTAAAAGTATAATTGTATCTTGTTGCTAAGGGTAGGCTTTTGGCACCGTTTTCGTTCGGAAAATGTTGCATGTTCGAGTCAAGACGAAGGCAGTGTCACAGGAACACAGAGGGCTGTCCCCGGGACCGAACTGGTTCTGGTCCCGAGAATTACCATGAGACATTTGGCTGATAATTCTTAAATCTCGCTGCTCTCTGGCCGCTTAATCAGGAGTGTTCTTTAAGGCACGTACTTTCGACTGATATCAAACTGTTCTGAACTCTTTCACAAGCAGACCTATCGGAATGATTACGCTTGAAAAATGGAAAAGGAGTCAAACATCTGTGAGGGAGATTATCGTCCGTCTGGGAGACTCATTAATCCCGGCGGCTTCACCTCAGAATTGACGTCAGACAGTGGGGTTTCTTTTAAAAATGATAAGTTGTTCTTTTTAAATAGAAACTGATTAAAATATCCCAGCTGCGCACTTACTTGACTTCCTTTGATATCGTCTTATTAAAATCTGTGAAGTAGTTGCGTACAAAGATAAAACCGTGATAACACACAAACTCACTGCCCACAGTAAAGAGTCCAGTTTTTCCTAGAATACAAGCACGCCCGAGAATTACACAGTCCGGGGAAATGTGAGTCTGTTTTCGTCTTACTTCAGAAAGATGTAGAAAACACCCCATGTTCCGTTGGATATAGCCAAATGTTTTGATGTAGATAAAAATCTCTACCTTTAAACGGAGATTTCAAGAAAAATAAGTGGGTCGTGTAGGCTGGGAAAACGTGTGACGATGCACCAAAATTGAGAATGTCAAAAAAACCCTTTACACTACTACTGAGATCCCTTAAAGGGGTTTTAACCAATACAGGTAGTCGCTCTTATTTTCTGATTACATTAGAGAGTGGAAACTACCATAACAGTTTTAATATAACATGCGCCTTTAATGTAACTGTCAGAATAATTCAATCCTTCTTGTTATTTAATGCTTTCATCAATTTCCCTACGGGGTGAATAAAGTATTATCTATCTTTCCAAAGCAATTTACATTGATCTGATATTCGGTTGGGTTCAATATTGGAGCAATCCGTGTGAATGGGTACCGCAGGACACCGGTGTCTCACCCACGATGTGAGCCCACAACCGTTCAGCTAAACCCACAGGTTGTAGTGATCTATGGAACTGGACACATTCACCGTTTGACACAAAACTACTGGCTTCCAACCACGGCGGCGCTAAACAGCAGACGTGGATGAGGCCAAAACTCACTGAAAACTGCAAAGTCATTCCACGGACTTTCCATTAAATTTGTGGTTTTGATATCGTCACGCAAGCTTAGTCTCCTCCTCCGAGGATGTACGAACAGGCCGCTTCGATACTGCTGCCGTGCGAGTAGTGGGCTTGGTTCACCGAATACCGCCCGGGTAAGGAACTAATCCTTTCATAACTCGGAGCTACTAATTTCTTTTCATAAATATTCTTTCCTGTATTATCTCCACAGACGTTACAGGAATATAAATTATACAAATATAAAAAGCACATTACAGGCCTAAAATAAGAACAGATAAGAAGACAGATGCACACAGACCGTTTTATAAAGTCTCTCAATATTCTCAAATAGTATACCCTAAGAAAATGTCCCTATTCCTGTACCGTGCGCACTCTGGCTGCTGTTGCATCATCCAGGTGGGGCTGCACACTGGTGGTGGTTTAGGGGAGTCCCTATTGCCTGTAAAGCGCTTTGAGTGGAGTGTCCAGAAAAGCGCTCTACAAGTGTAAGTGATTATTTCCTATTCTGCGTCATTGTCTATTGTTTGTTTGTTTGTACACTGTCTTGATGCACTGTTTGCACTTTGTTTTGTTTTTTTTTACACTTGTTTTACAATCGAGAGACTTTCTGTAAGTAAGAATTCCATTGTACCAGCACCGGTTACATATGGCAATAAAGTTCAAGTCAAGTCAAGTCAAGGTCTCGTTTGCAATTCACTGTCCCCCTGGAAAGCTGTGTGAACGCGGATGCATCTCAACGCACATGCGCTTCGGCGTGGCCTGTCAGGAACCCCGATTGTGCGTGACACGGCCGCAAGGCCGACGGATGCCTGCAAGACAGTTCCCTCGCTCAGTGCCATAGGCGTGCGGCTTTTACATAAAAAGCAAGCCTCTCTTCTAACGGAACGATTTAAGAACCGTAGGACGGTCATGTGATCGCAAAAGGTGGGAGAAATGTAGTGGGATATTGGAGCAACATGTTAGTCCCCGTGAGAGGCACAGGGGGAGGAGGTTAGCTGTTTTGCCAGGTCAATGGGCTTCTGGGAAGAGCGTGGGCGTTTGTGCCTGTGTGTGCCCTGCGATTGACTGGCGTCCTGCCCACGGTGTACCCGGCCTCGTGCGTGCTGGGATGGGCTCCGGCTCGCCTGGAAGGAGTCGTCTGAAAGCGAACGGGTGGTTACTCCCGATCACATCCAGTTCTGTATTTTTTTTTACAGTTCCTCCCATTAAGCATTATAACTGTAACTGTTGTAATTGCCGAGTTATCTCAGCACAGAAATTCGGCTCTGACCGAGCTCTGAACTCATCCATGGCCTATTCCATGAAAGCAGCTGGACGTGGATGTGTTTGTTGCTTTCGGGCCACCTGAAACAACACACAAAACTGCGGAGACGACTGGGAAACACTTAAGAAAACATTTTACATAAGAAGAGTGTGTGATATCATACGTAGAAAGCGCTGCCTGGAATTCTGTTTGGCGGCACATCTGGCCTGTGCCAACATTCCAGAGGCTGGCTCCGCTGAGCACCCACTCCTTTTAAAGCAGTGGCGAGCCCCTCGAGCGCCTGGTGTTGTTGTTCGCGATGGAAATATTCCACCGAGCCAGCGGGGGGATCAGGAGGTTGAATAATAACGGCCGGGGTTAGGGAAAGCACGAAGCCGTGCACGCAGAGGCCAGGTGAGGGAGTCGTTCCACCGCAGCTCGGAGCCGAGTCCCCTCTTACAGCCCTGTGGGCCGCGGCGCTCATGCTGCAAGCACACGACGAGGAAGCAAGCAAGCAAGCCGCGTCCTCGAACCCCAGTCCGGCCGCCGATTGGGCTTTGTTTTGTATACATTCCGAGACGACCCCTTGCTTTTCACTTTCCCTTTCCCCCTCCGAGCTGAATCAAGGAATACATTTTGCGGGTGTGAGCAGGGCTGCAGGAAACTGAACAACAGTATTGCACTCCCATCTGCGGTGTGTAGGATCACTTAATCCTTCAGGAGACGGGCCCTATTTTGGGCAAAGCCATGCCTGCATCTTCTGGTCACTGCTAGTTTTAATACTCGGAATACTTGGCCAGGGGACGAGGAGACTCGAACCCAGAGTCAGACGGAGTGAGCCCGGGGGCAGCTGCAGGGTGGAGATGGGTCCGAAGAGGGAGGTGTGTGAGTTCGATATATATATATATAGGGCTGATTTCGTCACGATGGTGATCAGGAACAGCTGTGCGAGAGTGGCTTGTTGTCATTCTTCCCAAAATCCATCCCTGCTTTCTGACTAGCAAGTGATTGCATAAAAGGTCCCGGCGAGCCAAAGCACAGTTCGTCAGGCACAGGTCTAGCAGGTTTCACAAAGAGCGTGAAATACTGGTTTCTCTTTCTCCAGCCGTCAGGTGATCACGTCCAGCACTCGCTGTGTGAAAGCGCTGAAGTCAGCTCACTGATGGACGCTGGCCTTTTGGAAGACTTTTACACTGGTGTGGCATCTTTTAAATACGTCGCTCTCCCTGCTTCATACTCGCTGTGGTTTTCCTCCTGCTTTCTCGTCTTTTTCCTCTT